TATTATTATTGCATATTTTTTTACCTGAGCTTATATTGCATTTTTTGTGTTATTTATTGATTTTTCTCTAGCAGTCCTTATTAGTGGTTCCCATGTTGTATTCATTTCTATCAGCTCAGATTTTTGTGGCCTAGCATATGTGCTGATTCCTTAAGTTTTCGTATTTTCCAGCGATGTTCAACGGCCGAAACGTTGTGAATATAACAATGAAAATGAGGATAACAGTCTGAATAATGTAAATAATCATAATACCTTATCTCCGATACAGACAGATGTTATTATTATTGCTAATAATGATTATTTTATTCTTAAAAAAAATAACTTGTTACCATAAATTGCGACGTACAAGTTGACATCAATATTGTAGCTCAAAATTCTAAGTTAGGCTTATACCTACCATATGGGTCGACCCCAAACATACGGCCCAAAATTAGGCCTACCGGTAAATGAGGTATATATGAAATCCTGTGCCAAAACTATATAAGGTCGCACTATTTCGCTCTATAGTGAGGCACTAACTGTAATATCATCCTATATGTGCTGTATAGCAAACAACTTACAACACACATGTGTAAGTACCGTATAATGTATCGATATGAATTAATGAATATTTAAAATTTGTCAGGTCTACTGATACATATTAAAGTCAACATAAGCTCCTATAAAATATTAATACCGTAAATTACACAGGCATAACATACCCAGTTGCCTGAATGACGACCCAAAATAAACGGCGCTTCGGTCAGTTTTTACGCTTAGCGTATTATCTGTTGTACGCGATGCGTGCTGCAGCTTTAATAGAATATTACTTTTGTGTTAGGATCTTATATTAATTTGTGTTAATATGCCAAATTATTTCACCAAATACAAGTTTTAGTGTGATATATTTGCGGCTGCCTGCTGGAGGTACAGTAATTGTTAGGAGTGCAGTCCCATTCGTTGGTAAACTTTTGCATTTTATGCCCACCATTTAAGTCAGCCTTTTAGTTTTGGAAATATTTTATAGGCTTGAAAACTCGTCTTGTAGCCACCATTTTATGAGATATTTCAACAGATTTTTATCCGTTCTCCAAAATGCAGTATTTTTTTTCTGAAAAACTTTATATACAATCTCGTTCGTATTATTCGAATTTATATTTTACGCCAGATTCGTCATCGCTTTTGTGTATCCTTCTCCGGTACAATTTACGTGATATTTGAATAGATATTATCCTTTCTCTAAAAGGCAATATTTTTTTTTTCTGAAAAACATTATATACAGCCTCGCTCGTATTATTCGAATCTTTATTTCACACCAGATAGCTATTCGTCATGGCATCTGTGTATCCTTCTTCAGTAAACCTTCAGTCGATACGTATATAAAAAAAAAAAAAGTTCTGTCTAGTCTTCTGCCCTTTACGTATTCTGTGGATTCTTTCTCTTCTCTGGTTTATTACATCTCGATGCTATCTTTCAAACATCCGTTTATTTATATTGACATCTATAACCATTTACGTGGTTTTGGTATAGATAAATATTGGTCGATTATTTTTTATTCAGTAAGCAATTACTTAAACTCAATATAAATTATATTTAACCATGGGCATCTACTTTTTTCGAGAAAAGGGTAGATATTAAATGATTATATGCGAGTCTATAGACATTTACTAGGTTCAAGCTGAGGTAAATACTGCTCTGGGATTTGATTTTCATAACGTTACGATTGAACGAAATTTATTTATTTATTTTTAATAAATTCTGGGTTGGGTTGATATTTTATAAGTCTTTATTATTCTTGGTTTATTTAATAACAAAACCAGTCTTTCATTTTTAAACTAGATTTAGTTTATAAGTGACTTGGGTGGGGTTAAGCTAGCATTTGCCGTCTATGTCCATTGTGGTGTAATGGATAATGGCTCAGAATACGAAATCTAGAGCCGAGTTCGAATTCCGGTCGAGTTCGTTAAATTCAACTATGCGCAAATACCCTTGGGAAGGAATACAGCTATGGGCTGAATAGTAGAACAGCCTGAGTTAGCAACCAGACTACCGCAGAAAGAAATTGCTACCTACTGCGGGAAAATATTCTGTCTAGTTAGTCATGACTCGAAAGAGGCCTGATCATTCATGCGTATGGCACTTAAATGACTAAAGTATTGACTTGGTAAGTTGCCCTTTTGGGACTGTCCTTCTCTTTATGCAAGTAATCCAGTCAAAGTATTCTCGGCGCAACCAACAAAGAAGCGACTACAAAGAACAGGATAAATGTATTTGAAAAGTGGCTAAACTGTATAAAACAGTATGGAGTAATGGTAGCGAAAAATCTTCAAATTATTTAGTTTACATATTTGGTAATGAATGCTTTTATTTATGGAAATTTGAAAGATAAGTTTGGGTAATAATCTTGCGAAAATCAATGAAACCGTTTTTATTCAATTTAGGAAATCCCAATAAGATGTCTTCTTGAAAATAAAAATATTAACATTTGTATAAGATAAGTACGCCTATAGAATTTTATTCTGATTTATTACCTCTCTGCAACCTACAATCTTCAGAATGTTAAATGCAACGTCAATTGCCATCCTCTGTCTCCCTGAATCCTGTTCTTTCATTGTCCTTTCCCATCACTGACGTTTTCTATTCTCTTTCACTCCCAAGATTTCCTTGCGTCTTGGTGGCATTATTGCCTTGCTTGGGGTATAATGATTTTATTAAAAGAAAGTCCCCATAGAAATGTCTTAAATCTTAAAATAAATATAAAACCGATTATTAATTATTATTAAAAAGTAATTATTTTTCATGTCTTAAAATGACAAATTCTGGCATTGAGTTTGAAAGGCTTCAACAATACATCGTTGATAGCCTTTGGGGTGGAAAACCTAGCAGTACTTCCTCAGTCAATACTTATCACCTAGTGGTCGTGAATCTAATCCTTACATCAGATTATGACATCCATATGCTCTAGTTATTATCACAAGGTTTCAACCTTCCTCTGTCTACCCGGCTAAACTTCAAGTAACCCCTTATTTATTCTATGGGTAGATCATTTCAATTCTGTATCTATTTTCCAATGGGACCATCTTGAAGTTCTGATTGGCCCATGCTGTCCTTAATGAATCTTGTGTTTTACTGCTAGGCTTGATTTCTTCCGTCTCGCTAAAGTCTTACCGTCAAGCATGACTCTCTACTACCCTTTCTCTTCCTTTCCTTATTAATGAACTGTACATCATTATTTTCCTCATTTTTTTTGACTTTCTATGGACTTATGTAACCCAAAACATAAGTTTTATATTCTGCTATATCAGACAAAATCAATTTTCATCCAATGAATTCATAGTTCTGGGTATGACGATGAACAAGGCCGCTGATCGAGGCATCAGGGGTTTTGAAGAGCATGGAACCAGCTCCTAATTGCTGTTGCACCCAGGCCCACTCTAAGGGTGGTAGCACCTGTTAGGATCCAAGCTATAGGCAAATATCAAACATCCAAATAAAACACTATGAAAGTATAAAAATACACATTTATATAAAACAAATCACCAACAATACAGATTTATAGTAAAATTACAAACAATATATATTTTAAAGCAAAATCACCAATAATTCATTTTATAGTAGAATCACCAACAACAAATTTTCTAGCAAAATGACCAATAATGCATTTTGTCTGTAGCTGCAGGTAATTTCGTTCTTAATATATTTAGTGGAGCCATAAAATTATATTTTAAAATATTTAGATTTCGGCATTGAATAACCCGTAGAGGTTGATTTGACGTTAAACAAAATGAAGGAAATAATGAATTCATCGTATATGTATGTTCGATATACTAAGTGCTGAATGAAATGAAAGCAGTTAATTTCAAGGTGACAAGCTAGCGGAATATGTCAAAACTTCTAATCCCATCTCGTACCCTGTTAGCAGAGTTCTCTCTCTCTCTCTCTCTCTCGTTTCTTTCTCTCTCTCTCTCTCTCTCTCTTTCTCTTCTCCTCTCTCTCTGTTTCTTTCTCTTCTCTCTCTTTCTCTCCCTCTCTCTCTCTCTCTCTCTCTCTCTCTCTCACTCTCACTCTCTCCTCTCTCTCTCTCCTCTCTCTCTCTCTCACTCTCTTTCACTCTCTCTCTCTCCTCTCTCTCTCTCTCTCTCTCTTTCTCACTCTCTCACTCTCTCTCTCTCATATGGCTTGAAATAAAATTAACAGTACATTTCCTTTCCCGAACTAACAACTTGTATTAAGCTGTAACATTTTATCAAAATACCAGCATTTTACTCATAAAATATTCCCTCTTACTCCCCAAAAAACACGCACATGAACCGTTCTGGTAGATTCTATTTAGTTGCAGATATTAGAGGCGTTTCAGAATGTAGCCTCGATTTTCTGAGTGACAGAACTAATTTCAACTCTATTTAAAAACACTAGCCCTTAGTTCCGAGTTGAAATTAATTCTACACCCTGATATTCTTCGTTTATTTTTTTCCCTTTCCTGTCATCTGTTTTAGGTGATTGATTTTTCTACTGCTTTTCAACCCTTTCCAGGTTATTTAAAGTCAGAAAATATTTTAAAATGAAATATTTTTACTTTTTTATTTAGATAATAATGCTTTAGTGATACAAGTCGTACTACTTAACCTATAGTTGGAGGGAGAAAAGTTGGATTCCTACCTTTCCCAAGGATATTTGCGCATAGGTGAATATGACGAACCTCAAGCCATTATCTATTACACCACGCATATCCAAGCTTACAGTCAGCAACTGGTATACCAAAGCGGTCACCCATCTAAGTACTGGCAAAGCTCTGTTGCTTAATTTCAGTGAAGCCGTAAACCCTTAAAACATTTGGGGCTGTGTGTGTGTATATATATATATAGTTGTATTTCCGGTTGATTATCCTGTTTCTGCAGTTTCCATCATTTTGTTTCATTTTTCATTTTCATATCTTGATGTTTCTATTCCTCTTTTCTCACAACCATTTCAGATGTTTTTTTTTACTCTGAAAACTTTTAACGTTGCTATTTTCTCTGAAGATGCTTTTGTTATTTGAAAGCTTTATAATTACTTCTTTTTCTTATATTCGAGCAGTTGTCTCCGTTTTCTTTTCTTCATTTTTTTTCGTTTTTAAGTTGTTTTTTTATTTTCACTTCTTTCACTCTGTCTTTGGAATGTTTATTTTCTGAATATCTTTTCTACATCGGCTTCTTTTAAGCATTTTCTATATTCTCTCGTCTTTTTGTCTCCATTTTTTTTTATCCAGATCTACCTCTCCTTCTAGTTGCTCTGTACCTTTTTATTGTCCATTCTTTTCGCCTCAAATCTTTCTGTAGAAACCAACCTCTCCCTTTATTTGTTTTATACCTTACTGTCCCTATGTTTTTCTGTCCAGACCGGCCTTCCTTTTCCTTATTGTGTTTTCTTCATCTTTCTATCCAGGCCGACCTCTCCTTCTGATTATTTCTTTTGTCTCTCCTTTCTTTTTATTTTCTTTCTTCATCTTTATATTCAAATTTACTCCTTCCTCTAACCCTTTACTCCGTTTCTCCTTATCATTTTCCCCTGATTTCTTTTTATTCAGATTGATTTCTTCATTTATTCTACTCCTTGTTTTGTTTTTCTGCTTTCTCTCTATCCCGACAAATGGTTTTCCTTAACTTACTCGCTAGAATTTTTCTTTCTTTCCTGTTCTCCTCACATTCTTAATTTCCTAGTTTCTTTAGACTTTACTTCATAAACTTAATATCGTTTGAACAACCCTTTCGTCTATGTTCTGTTACAATTTTATTTTATTATTATTATTACTACTACTACTATTATTATTATTATTACTTATCATCTTTTCTCTTTTCCATTGTTTCGTCAGCCATTTTCGTGACGGTGTCATTCTTCCGTCTTGCATCTTCTCCCTTACAAATATGTCTACTTCCTTCCTTATGCCTTTCTGCAATTGAAAAGGCCCAACGACATTATCAAGCCTTTCTTCCTGACCATCACATATCTCTCGTGTTGTTGCAGCTGCTACAGATCCAATATTCCATTTGGCATTATTCCAGAATCGGAAGATTCTTGCCAAACCCTTGTCTTTTCTCTCAGCTATTGTTTCCAGTCAAAACAGGATCTATTCAAAGTTTTCTTAGTTCGATTCCATCAGGATTGTTGTACTACATTGAAAGATGCTTTTTATAGTGGCAATGTTACCAGATAGGTCAAGCAACAATTTATCTGGTCATTATTTAATCTAAAACTGTCCAAAATTTCGATATGATTTTAAGTAACGTATACGAGGGAGTAATGGAAAATTATTGTACCGACCAGGAATCCAAGCTAAAAACACATTAATGTAGAGACAAATTTCAGTCAGTGGCTCGAAACGACTTTTTTTGACACCTTCTCTTTTCTCTCTCTCTTTTTCTCCTCTCTCTCTTTTTCCCCTCTCTCTCTTTTTCCCCTCTCTCTCTTTTTCCCCTCTCTCTCTTTTTCCCCTCTCTCTCTTTTTCTCTCTTTTCCCCTCTCTCTCTTTTTCCTCTTTTCCCCTCTCTCTCTTTCCCCTCTCTCTTTCTATATATATATATATATATATATCTATATATATATATATATATATATATATATATATATATATATATATATATATATATATATATATAATGTCTATCATTTATATGTGTATGCATGGGATGTGCCCGCAGCGGAACAAGGGAACGCTATTCCATCATGATTGTTGTGTTCAGTTTCGCATAAACAGACTTGCGAGAGGTAAGAATCAATCTCTTCTCGCTTCAGTCATGGGTTAATATATCAGTGCTAATATATCAGTAACGACATTTATTGGCTAAAAATAAGGAGAAGAATGGGGACCCTGCAGTCTGGTTGATCAAGGTGATATATGACGGTCTCCTTAAGACAAAGGTTAGCAGTCTGACCTACTATTTAATCCATAGCAATCGCTTCGCACGGTTCTCAAGAGTAATAGTAGAAAGTCAACGCTCTGGCTCCAGCAGGAATCAATTTGCTGATTGCATGGTTGGGGCCGATAACTGCTACGGAGTCCGATTTCCGGATAAATTAATTACTTGGAAATACACTGTGCACACAGTGAGATATATATATATATATATATATATATATATAAAGCTGCCTTTTGATCTGGGTTTTCATCTGCACGAGGCTTTCTTCGCTGCAGCTTTGGCTTATTTGATTGAAATCTGGTCCTCTGTTGGCGAAGAATTCTTTTTGCAAGGATACTGTTGCCATAAGCGACAGAAAAAACTCTAATGCGATCGCTTCATTTAAGTATTGCAATAATATTTAAGCTACCTTTTTAAAAGTTCATCAATAATTCTTCTCTCGTCATTTAATTTAAAGACAATTTGATGTACGTAGGGCCTTACTTTCCGTACAAACTATTTTTTTTTTTTATTGAATGGGTGGCTTTCGCTATATTTCGCAATTAATTTAAATTATTAAGTTTATTTCCTAGTTATAAAAATTGTCATGGTAGAAAAATTCGCGTAAATTCACAAAATCGCCAAAAACAATCGCAGTAATGAAACGTTTGGAATCTAAGAGAGAGAAAGATTGGCGTGAGTGGGTAAAGTTTAATATATTTAAGTTATTCTTCAGCCAAAGACGTTTTCTCGTTTCTATTCAGTAACGTAATCCTTCAACGAATTTTTTTTTTTTTTAATAAAAAGCTTGTGCGGTAAAACAAACCTTGAAAACTACCACCAGCAGACGTAAAGTATTAAGACATAGAACTACAATATGTCTTTTTTGGCTTTTTTTTAAAAATTAAAATAAAATGTAGCAATGTAGACGAATCTTGAATGTTATTAATATATTTTACTACTAAAACCTGAATGACGGTTTGCGAATGACGACATATGTTTTCTAAACGCTAACAAAATATTTCCTCAAATTATAATACTGCGGATGTCTAAAATATTAATGAAAACAAGTTTTGTATGTGGGTGCAACCATATAGTCACATGCATAAATAGTAATATATATATATATTATTCTTTGCATGAGTGAGACATTGTGTACATCCATACGTTTTTAGATACCGAGATATATTCAAAGATGACTCTTCTCTTTGTGTGTCGAGTAAGGATGTATTAAATATACTGCATGGACATGAGAATTAACACTGCATGGTGACTAGTCAGCTTCCTGCACTTCACATTCGTCTTGAAACTATCATCATGCAGTGGCAACCCTTATTTACTTTCTCTCTCTCTCAAATATATATATATATATATATATATATATGGGAACCAATCTTTCTTTTATACGTGTTTTATTACAGACTACTGACAAAGTACTATGATTTCTTACATTCGTAAATATTTCATTTTCATTACATAGTGTGTGTAAAAACAGTTCAAATGTTCTATGTCCGAGCACTTTCGGATATTAGCCATTTTCAGTTTTACACACTTCATGTCCAGTAAAGAAAACACTTGCAGGAATGCAAGAAAAATTGAGTAAAAATCTTAATCGCAGAACCATATCTGATGTCTTGAAGGAAGAGACAAATGTATCGATGACTCTGATTTTTTTTTTTTCCATTCTTTCATTTATTTATATATCTAATAAGGTAAATTTATTTGACAGGACTGGTGCTAAAAAACTAATACATGTTAAAATATTAAATGATATTGCCCGTCAGTCTTCCAATTTAGTAATACTTGCCTGAGTAAAAAGCTATAGATTAAAAAATAATGTTCCTATTTAGAATCGAACTAACACCTCCGACATCGGTATTAAATTTGCGAACATTAAATACAGCAAAATTCTCTACCTAACTACCAAATCATAGACTTAAAAAATTGGCTAAACGTCACACACACATATATATATATATATATATATATATATATATATATTCCAATGTAGTTTAGAGGAGAGGACAGTCATTTCACCGACAACAATGTATCAGAATAGACAAGTAGAAGTGACTGAGTCGGGGAACTTTCCAGACAATAGCTTCCTCTAATTCTTTCTTACGCATTTTTGTATGGATATATAGTTCTGTACGCACACGCCTCAACAAAAATTGACACAAACATAACATACAAAACACTCCACATAAGCGATGATTTGCTCTCAGACGGCCTTGCAATGAAAGATTTACCTTTAACCTTTTAAGTTTGAATATTGACTGATTTCACAGCAAACAAAAGTAGAAAAATCGAGTTATTTATGTGCATGGTTGAAGAAACGAGATTTCCAGATATGATAAGCCATTCTTTCTTTTCAATATACAGTTGATTGCATCTAGTTTTGTTGTCGCCATTTGTAACAACTAAGAAAGTTATCTTCTGCCTCTAAAGAGTTCCATTTTGTTAGCATGAGATATTTTTTAGCAGTCGAGTTGTATTGATTAGTCGGGAATAAACAGTTAAAGAAAAGATTATAAAAGCTGGTGTGTATATATATATATATATATATATATATATATATATATAAAATCTAATTTCATATATTGATTGTTGTTAATGAATAAAGAAAATGGAAAATCTGAAAGGAACACATTATATAAGAATGATATCGAACGGGAAAATGGAACACAAAGAATGAAAAGGTTTAGGCCAAGGAAAAATAAATAAAAGGACAGAAGAAAAAGTAATGCAGATGAAAGAAATAAATGAGGGGGGAAAAAAGAAAGTTGTAGAAAAGTAATGAAGAGAATATATGATGAAAGGAAGATAGATGGAAAAATAAAAAAAAATGTTGAAAGAAATAAAATGAAGAAATGAAGGTCATTGTTACACTAGCAAAAAGTGTAATTGTAAAAATGCAAGTGCGTTTTTAAAGAATGAAAAGGCTGAAAATAATAGTTATCAGTCTCGCTTCGTATTTCTTTGAAGAAAGCATGAATCCGCTTCTATCCGTATCCTGTACGAGGTAACTTATCAAAATATATTTTCACTGGCGTACTAAATGGTTTACAGAAGAATTGGCGAATAGCCACTTAAGCTATCCTCTATCGATGATATTTGCCCAGATAGCTGCTGAAAATATGTTAGCTTAGTTGCCGACCATGACAATGATAACTCATTTTGTTCTCTGCTTAGTAAAAAATTTCAAATTTAGTGGGGAAAATGTGTGCTATATAAATGCCAGCAGTAAAATAAACCGAAATTAATCAATTTGATGAGCTTCGTTTTTGACAGAGAATAGATTAGGAAAACACTGTAAATAAAATAAAGGTCTTCACACAAAAAAGGCAAGGCATGGAAAAAAAAAAGATACCACACCTACAAAATGATGAGTGTCTTAGTCTTAGAAGTTCATAGTGTGGGAAAGAAAAGACTCCATGCCACAGAGATGTGGTTCTACTGAATAACGCACAGAATACCATTGACGGAATATGTGAGCAGCAAGGAAGTTTTAAGGAAAATAGGTCTTACAAGGAAACTATAATTGCAACTTGGAAAGGCGAATCAAAATTTCTCGGGATAAAATAAGAGAATGCAGGAAAGTTAACACGTAGAGATGTCGAAGGCATGAGAAGCGAGGGAAAAAATCATTTTAATGAGTTTGTGAAAATGAATGGCAGAATATGGTCAAAGATTAATGATACTGAGTTTTTTTAGTACAAAAAAAAAAATGGAAATTCAGAATAATCCTCATTACCAACATTCCGAAATGACTTGCTATATAAAAGAAATTTGTTCTAGAACAAGCTGCGTTTTTTTATTGACTATTGAAATTATGCGTTTACAGTTTGATACTTACGTTGCGAAGTCCTAAATGTCAAGGGTTAGCAATAATATAAATAAAAAATATTAACAATAATTTTAAATATTGATTAAGAAAGCAATAATGAAACTAATAAGAATGATTTTTATATTAGACAAACCAACTCTAGCAGAACATCGACATAATTTTTCATTCTCCAAAAAAATTTGTATCCGACAAATATTACACTTCAATTCAGCACAGGATCTTCAGCTCCATGAGAAGAGATGTGGAACGTTTAGCTATTATCTATAACTTTTCCTTTCGAATGACAGCAAAAATATCTAAATATTCTACATATATATATATATATATATATATATATATTGGGCATTTTTCCGTCGAGAAATTGTCCTTATAGAGCTCTTGTCAGCCGGCCGGGCAGTTGACGTCAAAAGATGATGAATTATTTTCCACCAGACAAAGTAAACGTCACATTG